TACATGAGATGAAGTCTTGACATTACAGATGATTAAACAATGAAATAGGTTATCAAGAGCAATGTGAATAATCTGTACTAAGCTTTAAAAATGGAACAGATTCTCAATTACCAAGGAAGTTTTAGATGTGACCCTGTTTTTTTATATCTTAGGTATAAAGTTGAGAGCAGGTAGGGAAAAGGTAGACCTCTCGGGGGCCCTTGAAGGTCTCCTTTTTTAATTGGATATGAGTTTGGTTGCTGTTTGCGCTACTAGGCAAACTTTTAAACTAGCTGCCAACTACACTAGAAAAGTAACAAATATATTTTTTTAAATCAGTTACTTTGGAAAGTGGTTCACTTCTCAGTTGGAGGACGTGATGAGAACCCAAAACCCACAAACACTGTGGTGCTAATGGGACTTTATGCAATACCACATGTCCGCTTTTCCCACTGCCCAGTTTAGCCATCACATTCACCAAAAGTTAAAGAGAGATTTCCTTCCTCATTTTTAATGGAAAGTCTTCAAATTTCTGGTGGCTTGAGGAAGTGGCTCTTGTACTCTCAACACTCAACAGGAAATGTAATAAGTTATTATTACTCTGATGAACGGAAAGGATAGTTTTTGCAGTCTGTCCTTCCTGCCACTTGGAAACCTGGCAGCTCTCTGCTTCGCTTGGACAAAACAGGCCTCTGTGTCACCTGCTGGGCTGGGAATTTTTCAGTGAGGGGAGCATAGGAGAGGCTGGGCAGAGAGGATGGGAGATACTCATCTTGGGCAATAGCAATCCACTGGGAAAATGTGAAAAGTTTTTGCTGAGTTAAGGGTCCAAAGTGAACACTGCTTCTTTTAGGGGTAGGTGATCTATCTGTGGTCAGTGTGGGAAAACATGGGTGTTGTAAGAACAAATACAAATTGAAACGCTGTTGTCGGGTGCCGTTGAGTTGATTCTGACTCATAGCGACTTCATGTGACAGAGTAGAACTGCCCCACAGGGTTTTCTAGGCTGTAATCTTTTTTGAGGGGATTCTACTTTGTCCTCCTGAGATCTACTAGTTCTCTAATAATTACTCTCTAACAGGGGTAAGGAGCTCTGGTGGCGCAGTGGTTAATGTGCTACGGCTGCTAACCAGAAGGTCAGCAGTTTGAATTCACCAGCTGCTCCTTGGAAATCCTATGGAGCGGTTCTACTCTATCCTATAGGGTCGCTATGTGTTGGAATGGACTTGGTTTTTTGGTTTTTGTGATGCGTCACATTCTGGTTTACAGCCTGTTATGGATTGAATTTTGTCCCCCCAAAGCATGTGCTGTAAATCCTAACCTCTATACCTGTGGTTATAATCATATTTGGGAATGGGTTTTCTTTGTTAACGAGGCAGGATTAGTATAGGGTTTATCTTGAGTCAATCTCTTTCGAGACGTAAAAGCGATTAAAAAAACAAGGGAGAGAAGCAGACATAGGGGAACAGAAATAAGAAGCTACATGAAGATCTCCCAGTAGAAGCTCAGAAGAGACAAGGACCTTCCTCCAGAGCTCACTGAGCCAGCGCCCTGAATTAGGACTTCTAGCCTCCTAAACTGTGAGAAAATAAATTTGTTTCTTACAGCCATCCACTGGGGTCTGGGCACCATGATTTCAGGGAACATCTAGGTAAACTGGCATAACAAAGTTTATTAAGAAAATGTTCCACATCCCACTTTGGTGAGTTGCGTCTGGGGTCTTAAAAGCTAGTGAGTAGCCATCTAACATGCATTGATTGGTCCCAACCCACCTGGAGTAAAGGAGAATGAAGAACACTAAAGACACAAGGAAAGTATTAGCCCAAGAGATAGAAAGGGCTACATAAACCAGAAACTTCATCAGCCTGAGACCAGAAGAATTAGATGGTGTCCGGCTACCACCAATGACTGCCCTGACAGGGAACACAACAGAGTCCCTGAGGGAGTGGGAGAAAAGTGGGGTGCAGAACTCAAATTCTAGTAAAAAGACCAGACTTAATGTTTTGACCGAGACTGGAGGGACCCCGGAAGACATGGACCCCGGACTCTGTGTTAGCCCAGAGCTGAAACCATTCCCGAGGCCAATTCTTCAGACAAAAATTAGATTGGACTACGGGACATAAAATGATACTCGTGAAGAGTGTGCTTCTTAGCTAAAGTAGATATATGAGACTAAATGGGTAGCTCCTGTCTGGAGGTGAGATGAGAAGACAGAGAGGGTCAGGACCTGGTTGAATGGACACAGGAAATCAGGGGTGGACAGGAGGAGTGTGCTGTCACAGTACAGGGAGAACAACTATGGTCACATAACAATGTATGTATAGATTTTTGTATGAGAGACTAACTTGAATTGTAAACTTTCCCTTAAAGTACAATTAAAAAAAAAAAGCCATCCACTTGTGGTATTTCTGTTATAGCAGCACTAGATGACTAAGACAGCTTATTCAGATAACAAAACTTTTCCTTCTTTTCTATTTTTGTGGAGAGGTTTTCTGGGTTGGGAGTAGATTTCACTGCTAACAACTTTTCCCCAGCCCAGGTCAGGTCACACCTGCAGGTCACTGGCTGCTTATCTCATGTAGTGCTGAGCATTAGAGCTCTGCCTGTATCCTGAACTTCTGATTCCTAGACGCCTTTGCATCAGGAAATGACTCTAAATTCTGGAGCACACAGATTTCCTGCTCATCCCACTGCCCTGGGGCTTGTTTACCTCTACTTGGTCTAAGGAACATGGTCTCTGACTCCTTATAAAATAACCCAAAGAACCTGCCATCCAACAGCTAAACTTCATCGTTCCTTTTTGTTTGTGTGCTTGAAAAAAATCCTTCTTCACTTGAACCTGAGCAACGTTTTGATTTAGACTAAGACAGGCATTCCCTTAGTAAACTGTGAAAAAAATAATCCAACGATCACCTAATTTGTTCTAACGTCTACCACATTCTTTTTTTCCACTAGCCTGCGTCCTTTGTCCCTGTACCTTCCGCACCTGGTACAACCCTGCTGGCTCAGGAATTGCTCCTGCCCTTGGCTCCTCCTTTCTCTCATCACTGCCCCGATCTGACTCCAGCCTTTACTAGCTCTTCCCTGAGCCAAGGCAGTGGACTCCTCACTGGCCACTCCCCTCTTTCCCCCAGGCTCACCTCGACATTCTTCCCCAGAACACACAACTCTGATCATGTCCCTCACCAGCTCACAATGCATCAAGATAAAAATCAAAACCACTTTGCTTGCACATGCAGCCCCTGAGCGCTGGCTTCTGCCTCCCTCTCCCCTACACCCTTGTTGTTGGCTGCCGCCTGGTTGATTCCGACCCACAACGACCCCATGTGACAGAGCAGATCTGCCCCATAGGGGTTCCTAGGCTGTGATCTTTATGGGAGCAGATCTCCAGGTTTTTCTCCTCTGGAGCTGCTAGTGGGTTCAAACTACCAACCTGTTGGTTAGCGGCCGAGCACTTAACTATTGTGCCAGCAGGGCTCCTTCCTACACCTTTAGAGTCTAGGAACACTGTCCTTTCTACAGTTCCCTGAAAACAGCCCCTCGGCCATGCCTCCCTGCTGCTCCCCAGCCAGACAAAGCACTAGCCATCCTACCTCATCCAGGTGCTGCCCTCTGACTTTTTCCTGTTCTGTAGCACGTCAGACACACGTACTACAAGAGAAGGAAGAATGGGGTATTTTTCCAGACACTTCCAGGCAGATTAAAGCACTCTTTGTCCTGCGTGCCCACCATACTCTGGAAACGAAGCCAGTAATGCGGTGACCCTGCTGTCATTAATTGTCCGCACATGTCCGATCTGTGGCCTCCTAGGACAGGGCTGTGCTCCTTGTCTGTCTCCTTAGCTTGCTGCAGAGTCTGCACAAGTAACAGGTGCTCAACTTGTGGACATAAATGAATACGTTTAACACATTCAGTTTTATTTCTCAGTATTAAGTGCTACGCCCTAGATGGGGCATGCCCATAGAAATCAAGGGCAGAAAGTCATGGGCTCGATAGAGGCCAACAGACAAATACAGATACAAAGTTATCATCAGCCAGCCATGAAAAGCGTACTGCAAATTGCTGACTGGCATTATTCTGGCTTCTTTGCGGGACAGCAGCTTGTGATTGGAACCCGCTGCGGTGAGAACAGCAACCCCAGCCCTCTGACAGGCGCTTCTGGTGACCAAGACAGAGGGGAAGCCCTGGGGGAGGGGTCTGGCAGGAAACAGACCAAGAGCACCTCTCAGAATCAGGACAGAAGGCACGGGCTGTGCATAATCTCGCTCAACATTCACTCAGCGTCAAACCTCAAAAGCTTGCTAACAACTTCAGAGGGACCCAGGCTTCCGTGGAGCTGAAGCCCACTGTCTCGTTCTTGGTTTCTTCAAGCTTGGGGCTTTGGATTAGAAAGGATGAGATGAACTTAAACTGTGTTCTAAAAGTAGAGACTATATAGAAAGGCTACAGTGTGACTGCAGGAAAGCGCTTAGAGAAGACAGGGGGTTGGAGGAAAAATCACCTGCTGGACAGAATCCTGCACAGGCCAGTCTGGGATGCCTGGAAGTGACGTAAGGTCGCGTGTGTCAGAGTCAGGGTGTTTTCCTTGTGGACGGGATCAGGACGCTGCAGGAAGCCAGCAGACAGTCCACAGAGCCCAAGACTGTAGGATGTGGCCTTCATTACCACAGGATCAGCCGGGCTGCCATTCTTACAGGCCACTAGACACATGTGGGAAAACCACTGATTTTTTTTTTCTTTTTCCCCATGCACTTCAAAATAGGAGAGTTCAATGGGGGACATTTTCATACTGACACGCAGACAAAGTGCCAATAACGCCACCTTAAAACAACACTCTGTATAGGAGGCCTGGTTGGAACTCCCCTTTCCATGGCCTCATAAAACACTGATTTATTGACCTTCAGAGATACCTCTGCATTGTTTCAGCTTTCCTGGTGTAAGAATTTCTGGTAGATAACTGAACAAGCAAGCTCCAATTTCCTTATCAACACAGAGAATGTGTTTGGTCTACATGTTTGTCATTTTGGGAGTAGTGGTGGAAAGGAAATAACAGGGAGGGGCATTTGAAATATTTGTTATCAACAAAATGAACTCAAAGCCTATTGCTCTGTGTCTGTGGTTGTCCCACCCAAGAATTAGTATGTAGCCAGGTCTTCCCTCTAGTATGAGGTGGGATGGCAGGAGGAAAGCTGGGGCCCAGCACCTACCCTACAGCCCCGCCCTCCACTGTTGGGGATTTCCTTGGAGGGGTCTCCCCAGGGCCTTTTCAGGCCCCGTGCCTATCTCTTTTTGAGTAGTTTACCTTACTACCTCAATAGGGCCTTACAAGAGTTATCTCGAAACTATAAAAGTTTACTGCCCCAGGTTTGGTGGGGTTTCCTGAATTAAGCTTTGTGCTATCTGTAAAGCCATAAAAACATGCTTTCTTTTTTTTTTCTTTTTTTTTACAAGATTCCCTTGGGCCTAAACCACTCATGCCATCCTCTTTACCTAGAAAGCTTTCTTCCTTCTCTGCCTGTGAAATCATTCCTTCTCTTCCTACCCACCATTCAAAGACCACATTAGAGACCCCTTCCTCCAAAGGTTCCTGATTTCTTCAACGACACTCACTCCGTTCCTCCCAGCACCCTCTGTACTTCTCTTATGACAGTCTCTTTAGATTATCACAGCTCCACCAGTCTCCTGCTCCCCACTAGACTGTGACCTCTGTGAAGACACAGCTTATGCCTTCATCATCTTTGTTTCTCCACTAGCACCTTTTTTACAATGGAGCCCTGGCGGTACAATGGTTAAGCACTCCGCTGCTAACTGAAAGGTTGGCGGTATGAAACCACCCAGTGGTTCTGCAGGAGAAAAACCTGGTGATGTGATTCCATAAAAATCATAGCCAACAAAACCCTATGGGCCAGTTCCACTCTGTCACATGGGTTCACTATGAGTTGAAAATCAACTCGACAGCACCCAGTAACAACCATAATTGTTTGCTGTCCTGGGTATGAAACTCTGTCCTTAGGTCTTAGATAACCCAGATCTCAGTGGTTATCTAAAACCAGCTCCCTTAATGAAAACAGTAGGTTTCTATATTTTCTTACTTAGAATAGACAGCAGGGCTATCAACACGGAAACTCAAAATATTTTCATCTGTAGGCAAATGCACTTACTATGTCTGAAAATATATTCCCTCACAAACACAGCCAGGCACAGATATAATTATAAAAATGTTTTCAAAGGAAAAACTTATAGCCTTTCATGGAAGTTTGAATCTACTTAATATAATGTAGAAGAAACTAAATACAGTGAAACCTGTGACAGCCAGAACTCGACAGGACTGCCTTGTTTTTCTGGGTCTCAAAGTTGGCTGCCTTTGACAGGGTGCAGTCTTACCACTTTTCTATCACTCCTTTTAGTGGACAATATTTGAGTTTTCTTCTCTGACAGGTTTCTGCCTTACATAGGTTCTGGCTTTTGCAGGTCTTACTATACTTTCTAGAAGATGTTTTTGCCACTGTTTTGCAAAATCAATCCCCCCAAGCAGCTCCTCAAGCCTTGCCCAGTGTGTCATCATTAACGACATCAAAGGATTGTCAATGCAATTTTTAATTTTTGAACTAATAGACTAGGTTGGCAAAAGAAGCTATAATTAAACACACAGAATGCTTATAACCAGTCTCTTTAGGGGATAATACTGCAACACTGCACCTAGTTCCATCTTTCAAAGTTAATGAATTTCCATTGTGGAGGCTAAGAGCAAACTAAAATAAGCAGAAGAGCATCTCAACACCATTTGATTGGCACTGACCAGTGCAGAAGTTTCCTGTTTAGGTACAACTAAAAATGCACATAATTAAAATGGCGTTAAGGGAAAGAGAGGGGGGAAATAGCACTTGTTGAAAGGTCTGAGAAATAAACTTGCTTTGATAGTATTTGCCCTTAATACTAGCTCAAAATGTTTTTTTTTTAGCAAGTATGTATGTAGTTTTTGTGACAGCAATGGGAGATACTTTTTTGTGTCATCAGGAAAAAAGACAGACTCATTATGCACAGTTGGGCAGATTTTCCTTAGTGGCTAGCTGTTCACTGCAGCCTGGGTCCTTTAATTCAAATAACGTAGCACCATGTTCAACCTGTTGGACACATTAAGCAACACCTCAAGTGTCTAAAATAAAAAATTCCATTAGGTTTTTTCCTGCCTTCTTTTCCCTCAACCATTCTAAAAGCCTCATAAAATTAGGGATGAAATAGAATAAATATTCATTAGAATTTTCTGCTCCAGCCTACAGTACATTCCCATTATTTTTGCCAAGGCTTTAATCCTAGGCTGGCTTTCCCCTCTCTTCCTACCCCACCCACAGTTAGTTCTTTTCCAAGTGTATCTTCCATGTTCCCACAGGTCTGGGCCATGCTGCAGAGAAATGGTGAACACAGTAAGCCAATTTCAACAGAGGAGGTATATCTGAAACTGCTGAAACCAAGAAAACCACCAACATTCACTCTTCCCTGTGCGGAACTTTCAAGTGTAAATGGTTTTTACAGTATTTGTTGTGCCAGGTTTGCTGCACCATAGCTGTCCTCCAAAACCAAAACCCAACCCACTGCTGCGGAGGTGATTCCGAATCATAGTTTCCAAGGCTGTCATCGGAAGCCGACTGCCACATCTTTCTCCCAAGGAGCAGCTAGTGGGTTTGAACCACCGACCTCTCGGTTAGCAGCCAAGCACTTAACCACTGTGCCACCAGAGCCCCCTAGCTGTCCTCCAGGAGGACAGAAAACAGTAATTATTTACTTGGTAACTGTACCGAGTGATCTGGTAAGGAAATCTGCTCTGACAGAACTCAGTTGCAACAAGTGTCTGAGAAGACACTAGTTTCCGGCATCCCTAGAGCTCAGTCTTGCTTTTTATCAGCCATGTGGTGCTCCAGAGTGGGGGGATGGCCTCTGAGGGGGCTCTGGACCAAGGGCAACCGACTGGGCAGTCAGGGGAACCAGGGATCTTTCTGGGTGGGAATTTGGCCGGCAGAGGGGTGAACCCTCCAGAACTGACTTGCCTCCTCCCCAGGGCCGCAGGTGTCTCTGGGTGAGCCCCAGGTGCATGGGGTCCGCAGAAGGGCACTAGGTGCAGTGAGATTAACCCCGGCAGAGCCTGTGCATCCCTGTGCCGTTAGGCCACAGGCCGAGGTCAGCTGGGCTCTGCTTCTGGCTTGAAGCCAAATCACACACCTCGGCTTCTCCAATTGCAAAGAACGCTTCGTCCTAACACCGTCAGAGGGAGAACAAGTGACTCCATGGTTATTCAGTTTAGTTGCACTGGTGGGCCTAAAACTGCGGGGGAAGTCGGGGAGGGGAGCGAGGAAGGGCAAAGAGACCTCCTAGTAAAAGAAATCTTGTCAGCTTTTCTGAATAAACTTCCAACGTCCGTTTCACTGTATCTCAAAATACCCCTGTGAGGAGAGAACTGCTCTAGTCTTCCAAAAAGGAAACTGAGGTAGGGACAGCGTGCGTAGCCCAAGTTAGAGGCAATGACCCAGTGCTCCGAGGGACAGAGACCACCCACAGAGAAACCTTACTTTGGAATGGTTATCTAGTGTGGTCACTGTCTGCGACTTTTAATTTCTCTTCCTCGCTATTTTGGTGCTTAAGTATCTGGAGAATAAATGGCATCACCAACGCCTGAGACCGAATGGGGCTTTTGGAAAAGCCCGTGTCCGGATGTTGGGGTCCAACCTCCCCCTTCCGCGCCCCAACACCCTTCCAGTCGCCCATCTCCTCCTTCCACGGACCAGCTCCTGCACACACACACACACCCAGGTTCCACCGTCTCCGCCCCCCAAATCCCCGGCTCGTGCCTCTCGGAAGGCTGAGGAGCCAGGTGTCTCTGGCCCCGCGCCGCGGGACTTCTCGCAGCCCACTCGCCCGGTTCTTCCCCGCAGCGCCCGAGAAAGGAGTGCACCTGGAGGCATGCACATGGGGGGGCTCTCGCGGCCCCTTGAG